ACTGCATAGCCAGAGAAAGGAGGATTAGGGATACACTGCGGAAGACGGACTACGGCGGATTGGAGGGGCAAGAGGATAAGACGTCATGAGGCCGAGTGATGGGGCAATGGATCCGTCAATATCGGAGTTGACGGAGAATATTAGAATGGAACATATCAATGGAGATGGGAGTATCAAGATAGTGCAGATTAACACAGCAAGGACGGCATGTGCAAATGAGGAGTTGTTATCATACTGCCAGGAAAACGAGGTGGATATGGCCCTCATCCAAGAGCCGTACACTAGGAATGGGAGGCTGGTTGGACTGGAGACGGCACCGTACAGGGTGATATTGGGTAGAGCTGAGCGGATACCAGGATCTAGGAACACGAGGATTGGCTCGGCGGTGGTGGTGTTCAACCCTGACTTGGTGGTTATGGCATGTGGGGAGCTAATTACAACGAATGTTGTAGTAGTTAAGATGATGTTGGGAGAAGGTAGGATGATTGCCTTGATATCTGCATACTTCAGGTATAGAATCTCAACAGAGAGACATATAACGGAGCTAGATGCGGTAATGGAGAAATTACGGTGTCCTGTATTGGTGTGTGCAGATGTGAATGCAAGATCAAGGAAGTGGTTCGATCGGAAGAACAATGACAGGGGCAGGATGGTGGAAGAATGGGTGGACAGACGGGGATTAAATATCCTGAATGTGTCGGGCCAGCCATACACCTTTTCTGGTCCTAGAGGGTGTTCGAATATAGACATATCGCTCATAAATAAAGAGGCGTTGGAGCTGATGACAGACAGTAACTGGAAGGTGATAGATGGGGAGATTACGTCGGACCATAGGATGATACAATTAGAAATGAACCTAGGTAAACCGCAAGGTAGCAAGGGGCCCGAAAGGAGATATGCTGAGAACATGGCGGATTGGACGCGTTTCGAAAGTGCGATCTACAGGGAAATGGAAATCAAGAGAGGGGATTTTGAAGAAAGGGACATAGATGGGAAGGTGGACATATTGATGGAAGCAATCAAAAAGGCAGCGTCAGAGACTATACCACGCAGAAGAATAAAGAAAAGGAGCAAGCCCCCATGGTGGAATCATGAACTTAAGGAAAAAAGAAAGGAACTGAGGAGGGCACAACGGGAGTATGAAAGAGCGGGAGACGAACGCAGACAGGAGAAACGGATTATATATAACAGAAAGAGAAACGATTACGTGAAGACACTGAGGGATAGTAAAAGAAGGTCGTGGAGGGAATTCGCTAGCTCGATCAAGACGGACATGTGGGGTTGCTGCTATAAGTGGATCAGTAAGGGATCTAGGGAGCAAGGGGTAATGACATCCAAACTCAAAGATGATGGAAGTTTTACTAACAATGCCCAGGAAACGGTGGAGTATATATTAGGCAAACTCATCCCCACGGACAATGAAAGAAGAAGTGATGTGGCGGAACCAGAAAGATCGGCAAGAACAGAAGCAGGAGTTACCATGGAAGAAGTGAGGAGGTCGATCTGGAGAATGAACCCCAGAAAGGCACCGGGGGAGGACGCAATCACGGGCATGATGTTAAGGAAAGCTTGGGGTGCTATAGCGGAGTGGCTTACCATTATTGCGAATGAAGTACTGCAAGAGGGGTACTTTCCTAGAGCTTGGAGAAATGCTAGAGTGATCATGCTGAAGAAAAGTAAGGAAGCAGATAGCAAAATGGTAAAATCGTATAGACCGGTGAGTCTACTACCGGTAGTGGCGAAAGTGGTAGAACATTTAATGGTAAAGAAACTTAACAATGAAGTGGAGGACAAGTTGGATCCGGCGCAGCATGGATTCACGATGGGTAAGTCCACAGAAACAGCGCTAGCGGAATTGACCGGATGGGTGGCAGGCAGGGAGGAGAAATATGTCATTGGAGCCTTTCTTGACATAACAGGGGCTTTCGATAATGTTCGATGGGGACCACTATTGGAGGACATGAGGGAGTTGGGGGCGAGTATGAAATCCATTGAACTGGCGAGGAGCTACCTGACGGATAGAACTGCGGTGATGTTTGAGGGGGGAGTTACAGCGAAGGTAACTTTGAACAAGGGATGCCCTCAGGGGTCGAACTACGGTCCGTATTTATGGAAGATAGTGGCGAACGGGATCCTAGCCAAGGAAATTCCAGAATATGAAAAACGCATTGCATATGCTGATGACTTTGTGATACTGACGGCGGGAAACTCCAAGAGGGAGATCATTGAGAGAATGGAGAAGAGCCTGGAAGATCTACCGAATTGGGCAGGCAGATTAGGACTCACCTTCTCGGAAAGGAAATGTAAGGCAATGATGATGAAGGGTAAACTGTGGACGGGATTCACGATCAAAATGGGTAATGGAAAGATGGCCATGACGAAGTGTATGAAGTACCTGGGAATACATATTGGAGAAAGAATGACGTACACTCCGCATGTCATGCATTTGGGAAGTACGGCGGAGGAAATGTACAGTAGACTGAGAGCGGCTTGTGGAATAGACTGGGGTACCGATCAGAAGACGGCAGAGGTAATTTATAAGGCGGTATTCCTGCCTAAAGTAATGTACGGAGCAAGGTTTTGGGCAGATGGAATAAAGAACATTCGCACTAGGAGAAAATTGGAATCCCTGCAAAGGAGAGCATTGCTGGCAATCACGGGGGCCTACAGAACGACGTCGACGGTAGCGCTACAGCTCATCGCAGGTCAACCACCATTAGATTTAATGGTCAGACTGGAGCAGAAGAGAAAGAAGAATCCTGGCGATTATGTACGAGATCGGAAGCTTATGTTAGAAGAATGGCAGGCAAGGGTGGATGGTGCTGAAAAAGGGAACTGGACCAGGAAAATAATCAGGAATGTGGAAAGAAGAATTGAAATACCTATGGAGTTGGACCATTACGTGGTCCAGTACCTGGGGGGCCATGGGGATTTTAAGAGCAAGTTGTTCGAACTTAATCTAGTGGATGATCCGAAATGTGAGTGTGGAAGAGGTGAAGATTCACCGATACATGCCATTCAAGAATGCGGACTTACAATGGAACATAGATGGGAATTGGAGGATACATTGCGGAGAATGGGAATGGATTGGCCGGAGGATATGGGATGCATATTATCAACAAGATTAGCATTTGAGGCCTTCCGCAATTTCTCAAGGAAAACATTGATGGAGAAAAAAGCAAGAAGGGATGAGCATAACGGCGATGTGCTGGGCGATTAAATGGAGAACTGGAGTGGTTGTCAAGTTGACAACCACAATGCCCTCCAGCAAGGGGCGTAGAATTCTACTGGGGTAATAATTATGCCGGTCGTAAGAGGCGATCATAATAGTCGACGGCTGCTGTCGCTAAAACAGGGGTGGTAACCTTATAACCCCCAGGACGAGCGTCCGGGAGGGGCTCACCCGGGCCCGGTTACATCAACCAAGCAGGGTAGACGACCGCGAGGCTTCGGCCGACGAGCAACTGTCGAACAGGCCACCAGCCTGGGTTACCGTAAGGAGCCAAAAAGGTTCTACGGGCGGGGGAGGGCCCCGGGTCATGGCGCTCGTCTAGAACGGGAAAGTCGTGACCCGCTCCCCCGGCACTTGCGTACGGACCGACGCCGTCGCTCCGTGCGCAGTGTTGGCTTGGCTTCGTAGTGGCAGTTGCAGTAGCAACTATGTGGTTATGGCCAAGCTTGGTCAGGAACATGTTGTTGGGTGATAGGTTAGCTCACTCGATCAGTGAGAACTGGTTGTGCTGGGCGAGACGCTCCCTGACTTCTTGTTCTGCTCTACCGGTGGGAGTCAATCACCGGAGGTGTAGACGCCTACCAGATGCGTTTAGTGGCCGGGATAGGGTCACGCCCCAAC